GGGCAGTCAGAGGGAGAGAGCAAATTTCCTCCTTCCCATCCTCTATCCTCTGCCTAAATCTTTTAAACATTTTTTGTGTGTATTGAGAGCCTTTGCCTCCCTGGATCTGCCCCAGCCTCCTTACATTTATTTGTATTATAGGAGTTTTGCTTTTAGGATGCTGGGGCCGTTCAAAGATTCAGTTGAATCTGATGTTGAGGATAATCTGAGTTAATAGTAAGAGTCCTGTAACCTTTGCATTGGGACTGTCAAAATAAAGCTAATGCTAACAGTGCCATCATGTATTTCATGTAGTGTTTCCTCCAGAACCCATGTTGTTGAGAAGGAGTTAACTTTGTAACTGAGGGTTAGTGTTTCTTGACATCTATAAAAGCAAACCACTATGAGGGTAAGCACGGGGAAGAGTTAGGAGTACAGGTTGTCTTTATTGTCTTTTAACTAGCATGGTCATAAAGGACAAATGTGAGAGAGAAAGCAACCAAATTCATTCTCTCCAGTCTCCCCCCCCAAAAATTCAGATGGATGACCTCTGGTCATTCAAGAATGAACTGAAGCTCATGACGTCTCTATTTACATATATTGTTTCTGGCTTACCAAAGTGACGTTATTCTTCATTACTGTGTGACCTTTAAGATTTGATTTGATAGCAGTAATAAGAAGAGAAAAAATTCCAATTCTATTTTTCCAAAGTAGCCTGGTGATGTGCTTCCTAATCCAGTGGAAAGCCTGTTTTTATCTTCACAATTTATCTTTAAAGATGGAATTCTTTGTTTTGGAAACCTGTCTTCCTGACTCCCTTTCTCCTTTGTACCATAGGAAAAAAACTGTGGAATGTCAGGCTTTAAGGCTAGGGAGAGAGATTACACACAAACTGGCTTATATAATCAGAAACTGGCTTAAACCTGTAACAGAGCAGATGTGCAGTAAGGCTGTGTGAAGCTTTGGTCCTTGATTCGATTTGGCCTGATTCGGTGGCCAAATCTCCAAATCTGAATTGAATCAAAGGACCCTTTAATCTCTCCGAATCGAATCGGAACCCTCCAAATTGATTTGGAAAGATTCAGCGAGTTGGACATAGACGCAGCTTTAAATGTTTCTTCTACATACCTCAAGGTACTAGGCAACTTGTGAATGCTGTGATGCTGGGGCAGATGGAGCATCCCACAGGAACATGGGGGGCTCCCCAGTGCACTTGGCAGCAGACCCAGAAGTGGACAGCAATGGGGAGGGACTCCTCCCTAATCAAAGCATCCTTCCAGGGCCTGGGCCTGAGCCACCCCCAGCTCCCTAACTCAGCACTATGGAAGGGAAGGGAGAGCTGCTGTAGCATCCCCCAGCTTCTAGCCTGAGCTACTGCAGGCATGTGCCTGCACCTCTTCAGTCCAGTGTGGATGTCTGTGTGGTTACAAACGGGTTCAGCCTAGCCAGTTTAGACTAACCTGCAAAGATTGAATCAGTCCAGGCTCAGGCTTTTTGAATGGCTGTCCCTAGCCAAAGAGCCGGTTCACAAAGTACATAAGCATACTCATACTACTTAAGTTCCATTGAAGATAAAGGCTGAAAACTTGAACGATAAAGGCTGCATTCAGTCTACAGGGTTGGATTCTTCCAGCATAGCTGAACTAACAGCTTCTTTATTTGGTAGTGCTAAATTTTAATAAAAAATAACAGCTGTTAAATACATGTTTTTTTACTCTACCTAATTGCTATTACTATTTGAAGTAGTCACCTGATAGATCAGTTTGTCTTCAATCCAGGCCACAGATAGCACCTGCCATCCTGAAATCTACTTGCCTCAGGGTGTAGGATGGTTCTTGGTAGGCAAGTTTGGTTTGAAGGCATCTTCTGCAAAGGTTCTGATTTTTATTTTATTTTTTTTTGTCCTCTCTGGCTTCAGTGAGGAGTCCTCTGAATGGCACAGGGTCTTTATGAGAGAAGAACAACTAGCCTTATAAGACTTTGTTGAAGAGTCTTGGCCATTGCACTCTGGCAACAGGTAGGGTTCCCCTGTTTCTGTGCAGTTCCAGTGCACAAGGGATCTGTGTTCATGGACAAGTTTAAAAGCTGTCAAATGTCACTAGAAGAAGTCTGAACCAAAGGCTTAAGTAAATAAAGTGTTCTCTGTACTCAGAATTACCCTGTTTACTCATGGATCGAGTCAGAAAGTTCCTTGCCCTATAGAGTTTTTGTCAATTTGGAGTTAAGGGTTAATTCCTTATGTAGATGATGTTGTCCTTTTAGGCCATTTGTTCTCTGGGCCCAGAGTTCTTGCCCTCTAGGGTTGCTGGCAATGGGTATCACACACATGTTGTTGTTTGTGTGTTAGGAGAAAGCACTGTGGATTCCATTGGCCCTTCCAGATAACCCATATTCACACCCACTAGCACCTTAGTCATAGGTAGGGTTATAAAGCATACTGCCCCTTATGAGTGCAAGTAACAAAGTTTGGCCTTCTGAAAGTCAAATGCACAGAATATGTGGAAGCAGAAGAATTTTACTGAGAAAAACTTTACACTCAAGGTGCTCAGTTTTGTGTAAAATGTTTGAGGAAGCTTGGTAAAGTTTTTCTTGACTATCACCTCCTCACCAAAGCATGATGGCTAAATCGATACATAAATACTATGTCAATGAAATGGGTTTCTTTACCTTCTGTGACCATGGAGTCAAGCTCTTTGGTCAGAAATACCTTAAAACATCAGTCGGGCTAACAGCCAGTAACCTAACATTTTGTTCAGGAAATTCTGTAAGGCTTTGATGTTGTTCACATAGACCTAAGCCCTCAGCCTGGGCACTGACAGCAGCACAACCTCTTTGCAACTGCCGTTCTTGTAGGAAAAGAGGTTGCACCTTCTATCTAAACAACAAAGAAATTATAACAAATTTCAGAAATTCAGCAGGTAGGATTTCCCCTAGCTTTTATGATAAATGATCAGAAATGATGTTACTGTAACCAAATACTATTGACCAAATTCTGCTATTCTTCGCTCCTGCTTAGTTGTAACTTACTTCATCATTTATCCGGAATGGTAAACTGTATTTCTTTTTCAGGCTTTGGCAGACAAGCAACTGAAAACCAAACAATTTTAATCTTTTTTTTTTTTTCTTTTGCGGAGGGAAGTGGGTCGGGGAGGGTTCAGGTATTTAAAAAGATGGTGACAAATTGGTTTGAGGAAAGGAAGACTCTTTTATTAAACTCACTTTCCCCATCAAAAATACTTCAAATGAAACATTTTCATGAACCCTAATATTTAGTTCAACAACCAAACTGCAAATGAACGGGGTTCGCTTGCTTAGGTGGATGGTTCAGATGAAACCTCGTCTCTTGGTCCTTCTTGATACTTCTCTTGCACCACTTCTTTCTCCCAAATCTTAATTTAGATGTTAGCTGTGTCCTATTTATATTGACTTAAGTTGGAGCTTGCACACAGATAGAATATGAACCCGGGGAAGAGTTAATTTGACTATGTCAACAGTTAAGCTGATTCACATCAAGATGACATTTCCTTGAGCGTGCTCATGGGCTCACTCTCCTTGTTTTGCAGACTGGTTTAATCTCTTGCTTTCCTCTCCTTCTCCAGTCAATAGTCTTTATTCAAGATCCTAATTAGAGCTCCAAATTGCTCTTTTGCAGGTCACAGAACTCAATAACGTAAAAAACATATTACGGCTGTCAAAAAGCACAAAGAAACATGCTGTTGGGATTTATTTTAATGATGACACATCCAAAACCTTTGCTTGTGAATCAGGTGGGTAAAATGGCTTAGTAAATCAAAAAACACAGGAATGTAAATTGTGAAATTATAAGCATATAATACCTACACAGATTTTTCTGGGTCTTTATGTAGAACTTGAGGCCGATGAATGGTGCAAAGTGCTGCAGATGGAGTGTCTAGGAACTCGAATTAATGACATTAGCCTTGGAGAACCTGATCTATTGGCGTCTGGTGTAGAAAGGGAGCAGAGTGGTATGTACCTAACTATTGGGGGGGGATTGTTTCCTCTATAGATAATGTTTAAATTTGAGTGCATGAGTCAATTGCTTAAATGGTTTGGGCTGTGTACCTAACCAAAAACGTACACTGGGCGTACTCCCTTGTGAACAGAAGACTTTTTCTTCTAAATAGTCTATTTTTTTTATTTCTATTGTTAGCAAAAATAGTGTATTCCATTATTTTGGGGCTTTGATTCAATATTTTAAAAATATTCTAGACTTTGTTTTCAGATAACTTAGTTGTACAATAAGCGCTTTGAGGCAGGAACCATGTTTGTATAATGCCTAACCCACAAGGTCCTTGTCCATAACAGGGGTTCTTAGTGATGCATGGGGTATAAATAAAAATTTTGTGCATAATTTGATTCAATGCTTTTATTTGCATATGTAAATCACAATGCACTGCAAGCCCATTTGTGCAAGCAGTTAAATCCATTCACCCAATTTTATTAATTGTCTGCAAAAATCAGAGTTACAGTGGTAGATGGCTTCTGTGTATCCAGATGCTGATGTATATCTAAATGCTTTTGGAAATGTTCCTATAGAAACATCTCAATTTTGTATTTCCCTAATTAACATGATGCCCCAGTCTCCCCTTTTGCTGAACTGTTCGTGTAAGACTTGTGGTTATGGTGCCATGAAGTCCACTGTGGAGCCCAACTGCAGGAAAAGAGAGCATTTGCACTACATTCCATGTGGCATGATAACAGATCTACCAATCATCATTTTGCCCTTTTGAACGACACTTCAATTTCTGGCTGGAATCCTTTTGTTTGGCACTATCTGGTTTTACAATGAAAAGAACAAAACTTGCTCAGAAATCTTTGTTCAGTAGAAAATTAGATTTTTCATTGAAAGTTTTTTGTACAGAACTTTTTTGCAGCCTATTTTTCATAATGTAGGAACATAAAAGTGCCTTTCAGCCCTGGCCGAAGAGCAGGTCAAGAGCCTGTTCATGGTTAATTTTCATTTACGATTAGTTCCTTCTGCTACTTCCATCATCCTGTTTCCAAAATGAAGCTGTATTTGGAACCCATACTCAAGGTGTACTTCAGTAATTCATCTATGTAACTACAAAAGTCAGTTCGGTATTTAATCAGTGATAAAGCTTTAGAGTTATTTTTTTAAGGTATTGCTTTGCCTTTTTCACTCAAAGAAAACATGAAACTTTTCCCATTATTCTCCTGTATTTTTAAATTAATTTCAGGGTGGGGGTTGGAGAAATCAAACATCTGACTAATGTGTTTCAGTGATAGGCTTTATAATAGGTATGAATTTTATTGCATTTTAACTCTAGTTCATCCAGTCATATACTGTCCCTACCTGAAATTAAGACTGTTACTTTTCAGAACTACTCATAATTTTCCATTGTCTGCTGAAGTGAGTTTTCTCTGAAAAGCTTGCTCATCTCTGGTTCAGTTAGTCTACAAAAGTGGTGCCCAATCTTTTTGCAGGCCAGTGGACTCAATTTGGTACTGGGAGCTTGTGCAGCGGGGGCCCAATCCAGCCATACGGTTGGGGGGTGGCGAGGGGCACAACCCAACCTTGATCCATTCACTCAGGGTGGGGAGCAGTTTGGTCCTATTCTGGATGTGCAAATGGGGGAAGAGGCAGGTCTGATTTGGAAATGGGGCATGGGGGGCAGGCCCAGCCCTGATCCTGCTGTGTGGCAGTGGCCCAGGGCTGGATCTGGCCATGAGGACCTCCCGCTGTTTCCCTGATGGAAAATTTTCCAACCCATGAGGATCCCCACAGGCCAGGTGCCATGGCTTCACAAGCCAGATTTGCCTCTCAGGCTGGAGGATGAGTATCTCTGATCTACCGGGTGCATCTTCACCCTAGCTTCTGCCTTTCCACTGTTGCTTCTGACTGGAAACATGTTTGTATGTTCAGTTCAAAAAATAAAAAATTCTGGCAGTGACAAATGTTTGCTTTGACAAGTGGTGAGTGGCTCTGGATAATTACATATCTGTGAGGACTGGATTATTGAGAAAATCCCCTTTGCAGAATTCAGTGCATGTGGCATCTTCAGGAGTCTTTTTAACACACACCAGAGAGCTATTAATACATAGACTTGAACTGCATTTAACCTTGTTTTATGAGATTTTTTTTAATACAACCATCATTATTAAAAAAGAAATTAATTGCCGTAGAACACTGACTTGAACAACTCGTATAGAGTTTTGCTGTGACCCGTGTGTCCCGTCTTTACATGGACAAGCGAGAGTGAATTTTCCATATAATCCCAAACTGGAGCTAAGTGAAGGGACAGTTTTAGAACTCTTCCTGAGAGGCTGCAGCATACAGGAGCCTTGCATACAAAATTTGTGGCCTGTGAAATTCTTGCTGTATTGGTAATATCCCTGTCACTTCCTAGGCCTAACCAAAACTCACTTCCCTTGCATTCTGTCACACAGTGGGTCAATACAAAGCTTAAGTTGGCACCGGGCAGATAACCATGAAACTCCTCTGCACAGTTTCTCTATGGTCCAATCCTCTAAGCCCCAAGCAGATGAATATTGGCAGTTCAGACTTTGCATGGTCTTTCTGCAGCTGGGAAGATTTTCTTCCTCAGTCCTTTGTTAGGCCCATTTATAGATGTATAAGAAAAGAGGCTGCTGCCCCAAAGAGCTTTATCTCAATGACTTTAAAGGCTGCTAGGTAGATATTAGCATTTGCTTCTACAATTCTGTGAAATAGTACAGGAATTCAAGTGACTTCCATGAACTGCAATATGCATTTAAGATCTATTTAAGTGACTTCACTGTATTGTTGTGTATGTGTATATATATTTCAGTGTGTATGCGTATATGTGTGTATAGAGAGAGAGAGAGAGAGAAAGAAGTGTAGTTGAGCAAAGGAAAGGAATTTTTCTATTCTTAGAGTAATTGCTTAAGTAGAAATAAGACTTTATAATTATATAAATAACACAGGTAAATCCTATAATGTCTTAAACATTTAATTTACAGGGATTTTAGACTAACCTTTTGTTTTTCTCCCAGAGAGATTCAATGTGTATTTGATGCCATCCCCTAATTTAGATGTGCATGGGGAATGTACCTTGCAGATAACATATGAGAATATCTGTCTTTGGGACATCCAGAATCCCAGAGTAAAACTCATTTCTTGGCCATTAAGTGCCCTCCGACGTTATGGACGGGACCCATCTTGGTTTACGTTTGAAGCAGGGAGGTGAGTGCATGCTTTGCTATAGTGCTGTAATTCATATGTATAAGGAACTGTTCCTGGGTGATATGAGAGAGCATACCCACCTCTGACTGAAGTGAATAAGAGTATGGAGGGGACATTCCACCCTATAGGGAAGATACTCATAGTTCAGCCTTTTCATATGTAACTTTAAGGTATGGCTTAAAGAGCAAAAACCACTGTCAAATAAGTACAACTGTGCATGTGGGAAAATGATGTGGGGAGAATAGGAGTACACAGTACAAGAGTTTTGGTTTTGAGGAGAGCTCTGGAGGCTCACTGCTTTTGCATATTCTTCTTTTTGCCGTGCATTAATTTTTTTCATAAATGCTCCAAATGAGCCTCGGGAATTAAATGTGAAAAGGAAGACATGCTCTTGCAGTAACTTGTTGAACTAAAGATTGTGCCTTGTGCATAATGAAGAATATAGCCAGGTACAGACTTTAAACTTTTTCTGGTATAAGTGATCAGCAGGGACCCTGGTTTTCTCTGATTAAAACCCAAAAAATCAGTGTTGTTTTCCTGCAGTTAAAATGAAATGACACATACACATACACATATCAGTTGAACACAATGTTTTATTGATGCATTTACAATTTTAAAGCGATTTGGGAACCTACCACTGCCTCAATCATTATAATAAAATGAATTGTGTGTGTGTGTGTATTAGGGCTGTGCGAAATTTCACCGGCCATTTCATTTCAACACTGTTTTGACCAATTTTGAGGTCAAAACAGCAAAATTGAAATGAAACAAAGGCCCTCAAAATAGCCTCAAAACAAAATGAGGCTGGTCAGAATGTTTTGAAAGTCATCAAAACATTTTGACCATAGGCTGGGGATGGGAAGTCAGTCCAGCTGGGCTGCTTCCCTGTCCCCTGTGCTAGATTGCACCAGGGGTGGGAGGCAGCCCAGCTAGACTGCTTCCCATCTAGCACAGGGGACAGGGAAACAGCTCAGCTGGGCTGCCTGCCGCCCCGGCACAATCTAGCGGGGGGGGGGGGG